GCCCCTGCCACCGCCGCACCAGCCGATATTTTCTGTGGTAAATTTTTTTCACAGGAAACAAGCTAAGCACTTGGCGGGTCACTGCCCCTAGTCCGCACTGCAGCACCAGGTTAAGCTGAGGTAACAACCGTTATAAAGTAACAACATGTGCACGGCGTAGTGTGTGTGTGAAATGGGGAACCTCAGAGCGGGGGGCCCCCCCGGCTTGCCTGGATATGGCCCCCAAGGTTCAGGGAAGCCTGCCCCATCATGTGGCTGGAACACAAAATCTTCTAGGCTGGGGTTTTTGGGCCTGTTTGGTTTTGGTTTTGGTTTGCTTCTCACTTGTGTGCGGCCCCTGACAGATTTGACTGTGGGTCAGTGGCCCCCAATCAAGAAATGTTCCCCACCCCTATTTTAAACCTTCCTGCTGGGAGGGCAAAGCATACATCCCAGCAGGGGGTTACGTTCAACGCCTGGTCGTAACTCGATTTGGTCGTAAGTCGGAAATACCTTTAAATGCGCTGCCCGCGCTGTTCGAAAAACTTGACATACATGGTTCTCAGCTCGAAAATATTATTATGGGGTTAATGGGAGGTTGGTCGTAAGTACAGACAGTCGTAAGTCGGTGTGTTCGTAAGTCGGGGAGTGGCTCAGCACTAGGACCTGAGCTTTGTTGGCAGGGTGGCCAGTGGTGGGGTTTTTAACCTAGCAGGGGGCTGGGTGTATGTAGCGTTTGCCCTGAGAACAGTGCTTCTCGTGGCATTTTCTGCCTTCGACGGCCTCAGTGAGCGGTATGACCCCTGGAGACTCAGCCTGCGTCTCTTAGTGACTCTCTGACACGCTGCTCCAGGCCGGGAGTCAAGACCGCGCTGCAGTCAGACGCCTATTTATAACCCTGGCTGCAGCCGCCCGCGCACGGGGATCGGAAGGAAGCTTTCACGTTCTAGAGCGCGAAGGGGAAATCGGCCAGGAAGGGCAGCGCAGACTGTGGCACAGAACCCCGGGTATGGCTTGTGGAAGCCTCTTCTCAAATGCTGGCACAGCGAGACACCTCCTCTCCCACCCGAGGGGAGTCAGGGAGCCCTCCCACAATTTGGACCCGGCTCCAGTCCCGTCTTCTTCCCCCTGAGGCCCCACTGCCAGGGGGTGGAGAGACTTAGGGAGCTGGGGACTTGGGGGAAGGGCACAGGCCTCAGCCCTCCTGTTTAGGGAAGGCTCTGATGTCCTTTCAGAAGGCATTCGGGGGACGGAGTCTGAGTGGGGCCAAGCTGGTGGTTTGGGAAGGCAATGCCTTCCCCTGCCTATTATACTCGCCGCCCCTGCCACTAGCTAAAAACGTTTCCTAGTCTCTAACCTAAATCTCCACAGGTTGGCTGTGCACTGCGTGAAGAAAAACCTCCTTTTGTTTGTTTTAAACCCTCTCCTGTTAATGTCATTGGGTGACCCCTAGTTCTTATGCTATGGGAACAAGTAAATAACGTTTCCTTATTCACTTTCTCCACACTTGTCAGATTTTGTAGGCCTCTATCCCCCTCTAGTCTCCTTGTTTCTACAGTGAGACGCCCCAGTTTTTTCAATCTCTCTTCATCTGGGGCCCGTTCCAAACCCCTCATTGTTTTGGGGGCTCTTTTCTGAACCTTTTCCAATGCCAAGAGGTCTTTTTTGAGATGAAGTGACCACATCTGTATGGAGTATTCAAGAAGCGGGTGTCCCATGGATTTATACAGAAGCAATAAAATATTCTGTCTTATTCTCTATCCCTTTTTTTAACGATTCCTAACATTGTTTGCTTTTTTGACTGCCGCTGCATACCGAGTGGATGTTTTCATAACGACTATCCATAATGACTCCAGGATCTCTCTTGAGTGGTAATAGCTAAATTAGTCCCCATCATTTTGTAAGCCAACTCCCGCTATGCATATTGTGTAGCTGGAGTAGTGTATCTTAAACCGACCTGCCTGGTCTAGTATAGACCAGGCCAAAGGTGCCACTGGACTCTTCGTTATTTTTGCAGACACCGACTAACATGGCTACCCCTCTGAGACTGTTAACTGATGTTCAGCTATTATCCTTCTTCGGTGAATATTCCCTACATGCTTGTTTCTAGATGTATTAAAATGTATATTGTCTGTTTGCCTCAATTTTACCCTGCAATTCTCATTGCTCTGTATCAATGACCTCACTTCTCCCCCAATCTTTGTGTCATTTTCTTCCAGATCATTGCTCAAAATGTGTAAGCGGTGCAGGTACGGTTAAAAACAATTCCTCCGGCACCCCACTAGAAACACCTGCTAAATAATAATTCTGCCTTTACACTTAGAAACCCGTCAGCCGGTGTTTAATTCATTAAGTGTGTGCCTTGCTGTGTTAATTTTATATTGCTGTGCGTGACACTTTGATGACTAAAAAGCAGTACCAAGTCAAATGCCTATGACACTTTGACTAAAAAGCAGTACCAAGTCAAATGCCTCACCAGAGTCTAAGCATAATACAGCGCTACTCTCCTCTTTACCAACCAA